AGTTATACTTGCTGTAAATTCTAACTTAACTTTATACTTTAAATTTTTTTTAAACTGAACTTAATTTCTGAATCATATCAAAATTACCACATTTTTTGAACCATTCAAGAATTTGAGTAGAATAAATATAATTATTGATAATATAAACTTACAGTATTACTTATATTACCACAAATTTAACTTTTCGTACTATAAGTATTATATTATATTAAGCAACAGTGATGTAGTAATTGGAGTTTTGGCTCAGAACCAAGAGGTCAAAGAGGTTCGATGCCAGTTCTCGCTAGAAAAAACCATATTCGTTAAAAAGGTGGCGTGAACAAAATAATACTATATATATATATATTTATATATATATATATATATATATATATATATATATATATATATATATATATATATATATATATATATATATATATATTATATATATATATATATATATATATATATATATATATATATTTATATATATATATATATATATATATATATATATATATATATATATATATATATATATATATATATATATATATATATATATATATATATATATATTTATATATATATATATATATAGGGCTAGGGCGATATATATATATATATATATAGGGCCATATATGTTATAAATATATATATATATATATATATATTATATATATCAAAAATGTATCAGCCTTAAAGTAAATAAACAAGAAAAGACACCAAAAAGATTTTTATAGTAAATGCAAAGGTACTAAAAGTAGCAGTACTTAAATCCATCAACAAAACAAGTTTTTTTAATTTGATTTTAAATTTAGAAAATAAAAAAATGATCAAAGTTTAGAAGAACAGTTTGTTTAAAAAGAAATGGTGCTCGATAAGCGATAAAAAAATTGATTAAACTTATTCCGACAAAAAGTTCATTCCGCAAATACATATTTATTCTCAATACATATTTATTTTCTTTTTTCAAAATAAAAAGACCTTCAAAGACGGAAAGAGATAAATAATTTTTTTGACAAATATGTAAAGCATAATACGTTATTAATATATTATTAATACGTTATTTTAGTTATGTTCAAATAAATCAACTACAATTATTTCTTAAAAAAAAAAAAAAGGTTTTACTGAAACGATCCGAATAAATTGCTTATTCTGATCAAATGTTTCTGCGGCAATAAAGACATTGTAATTTTCCGTGCATCATTTGTATAATTTTTATAAGTAAGAATAAATGATATATATATATATATATATATATATATATATATATATATATATATATATATATATATATATATATATATATATATATATATATAAATATATGTTTTCTTTGAAAATTTACCGACTACCATGACAACATTTACCGACTAACTGTCTTAATTATCGGCTAACCTATATCGAAAAGGTCGATATTTGCCGACTAATTAGACAAAAAGAATCAAATTTGCCGATTAAGGATCAAATTTGCCGACTAAAAATCATTAATGGGGGGGGGGGGAAGGTAACACCCCGCCCACCCCACCCACCCACCCCACCCACCCTACACACACACCCCTATCGCGCCGGCCTTAGATGACATGTGACATGTACTTTAGATGACATGTACTTAGACAACAAGTATTTAAATAACAAAGATTACCAATTTCCATCATCAGTGCATCACAATGTAATGGTATTAAAATTGTTAAATAATAATAGTTTTGATAAATATTCTGGTTTTTTGATTTTGGATGCTCTTTCTCTTTTAGATGATTTTCTCTTGTAGACAAGTTGCAAAAACGTACTGTAATTATAGTTGGACCTGCTCTTGCAGCCAACCTCCAACCATTATCGCATCGTCGTAATATTGCTTTTCTTTCTGGTTTCTATAAATACTATAATAGGCGCTACTCTAAAGAGTTAGCGTCTCTTGTGCTATTTGCTAAAATTCATTCTCGTATTAGTCATTACTCAATCAAGTCTTATCCTTTAACTATGACTGTTCCAAAAATATTTTTTAAGTTTTTTTCTTCGAACATCAGTTTTTCGGAACTCGCTCCCTTCATTTTGTTTTCCTGATTTATACAACTTGCATCTTTTAAGTTGTCTGTTACTGATTATCTCGATTTATAAACTTCATCTTTTCTTTTTCAGTAATTTCCAACTCTAATAGCGGTTGCTTGCAGCCTTGCAACCAGAAGTAAAGATGTTTAAAAAGTAATAATAATAAAATAAAGTATACAAAAACTGGTTTGCACAACAAATCAAAACTTTGGCAAACTTCTATTAATTTGCGCTCTACCTGATATAGCCGTCAAACAGGTTGATCCATTGCTCGACATCCATATCACTCTAGCTTCTGTATCTAAAGTGATTTCCTGCTTTAAAAAAAAAAAAAATTCAACTTTTTCTTTATCTTTTTTTAAGACGGATTTCCACTTACATGAAATTTTTCTCGGAACGGATCCAACTATGTAAAAAAAATAATTAAGGAGCGCA